TGAACTAATTTACATTCCCACTAAGAGGGTAAAAGCATTCCTATTTCTCCACACCCTTGCCAGCATCTATTGTTGACTTTTTAATAATCTCCATTCTGACTGGCATGAGATGGTATCTCACTGGTATTTCTCTGATGATCAGTGATGTTGAGCTTTTTTTTTTTCATACATTTGTTGGTCGTGTAGAGGTCTTCTTTTGAGAAGTGTCTGTTCATATCCTTTGCTCACTTTTTGATGGGGTTGTAAATTTGTTTAAGTTCCCTGTAAATTATGGATATTAGACCTTTATCAGGTAGGTAGATTGCAAAAAATTTCTCCCATTCTGTAAGTTGCCTGTTCACTCTGATGATAATTTCTGTTGCTGTCCAGAAGCTCTTTAGTTTAATTAGATCCCATTTGTCAATTTTGGCTTTTGTTTCAATTGTTTTTGGCATTTTTGTTGTGAAGTCTTTGCCCATACCTATATTCTAAATGGTACTGCCTACGTTTTCTTCTAGGGTGAAAACACCTAAATGTTCTATATTAAATTGCCTTTGTATCTTCGTTAAAAATCAACTGACCGGCCAGGCATGGTGGCTTATGCCTGTAATCCCAGCACTTTGGGAGGCCAAGGTGGGCAGATCACGAGGTCAGGAGATCGAGACCATTCTGGCCAACATGGTGAAACCCTGTCTCTACTAAAATACAAAAAAATTAGCCAGGTGTGGTGGTGCGTACCTGTAGTCCCAGCTACTTGGGAGGCTGAGGCAGGGGAATCGCTTGAATCTGGAGGGGCGGGGGTGGAGGTTGCAGTGAGCTGAGATCGTGCCACTGCACTCCAGCCTGGTGACAGAGCAAGACTCCATCTCAAAAAAAAAAAAAAAAAAAAAAAAAATCAATTGACCACATTTGTGGGTCTTTTTCTAGACTTTCTATTCTGTTAGGTTCATCTACATATCACCAATACCATACTGTCTCAATTACTGTAGTATATCTTAATATTAGATTGTGTGAGTCTTCTAACTGTTCCTTTAGAAAAATCTTTGTCTATTCTTTTTCCTTTACATTTACATATATATTCTAGAATTCACTGTTCTATATCTATAAAGAATCTTGATGGCATTTTTATGGTGATTGCATTAATTCTGTGGAGCAATTTGGGAAAAATTGACATCTTAACTACATAAGTCTTCCAATCCATGGACAGAGTTTGAGTTGACATCTTTGCTTTATAGGGTCTTTCAATTCATGGACAGAGTTTGTCTCTCCATTTATTTACATTTTCTTTGATTTTTTTTTTACTTCAGAATTTTTTTTAAATCTTAGTGCACAGACTATGCACATATATTCTTAGGTTTATATATAAGATTTTATTGAGAGAGTATTATAAATGATACTTATAAAAATGATTGGTTCCCTGTTGTTCATTCCTAGTGAATAGAAAAACATGGATATTTGAATGCTGACCTTGCATCTGCTAAAATTACTAATAGCTCTAAGAACTTCTGTGTAGATTCCTTGGGATTTTATATGTAGATATCATGTTGTCTACAAACACAGGTAGTTTTATTTCTTCCTTCTCAATTTGAATATTTTCTTTTTCTTGTCCTACATCACTTTCTAAGATTTCCAGTATGATATTAAATAGAACTGGTGAAAGTGGACATACCTGACTAATTCCCTGTTCTGAGGGGTAACAATTAGTCTCTTATTATGTTAGCTCTGGTTCTTTGTAAGAGTCCTCTATGATTAAGGAAGTTTTCTTATATTCCTAGTTTGCTAAGAATTTTAATTATTAATGGATATTGAATATTTAAAAATGCCTTTTCTGAATCTACTAATGTGATCATGTGGTTTTTCTTGTTTAGTTTGATTTTTTAATGTTGAACCAACCTTACATTTTTGGGATACACCTTAAATTGGGTGCGATGTATTATTCTTTTTATACATTTTTGGATTGGATTTGATAATATTTTGTTGAGGATTTTTATGTGTATGTTCTTAAGGAATATTGGTCTAGAGTTTTCTTATTTTTCTACAATGGTAGCCTTATAAAATGAGTTGAGAAATATTCTCTTGTGGACTTTGGGAGGCTGAGGTGGCTGGATCACGAGGTCAGGAGATTGAGACCATCCTGGCTAACACAGTGAAACCCTGTCTCTACTGAAAATACAAAAATAAATTAGCCAGGCATGGTGGCGGGCGCCTATAGTCCCAGCTACTCGGGAGGATGAGGCAGGAGAATGGCATGAATCTGGGAGGTGGAGCTTGCAGTGAGCCGAGATCAGGCCACTGCACTCCAGCCTGGGGGACAGAGCGAGACTCCATCTCAAAAAAAACCCAAAATAAATTAGTCTCCCTTTCTGTTTTCTGGAGGATATTGTGTAGAATTGTTATTCTTTTTTAAATGATTGTTTGAATTCACCACTGAAACCATCTGTGTCTTGAATTTTCTCTTCTAGAAGGTGTTTAACTACAGATGCAATTTCTTTAAGAAAAATAGGTTTATTCAAGTTTTCTGGTTCTACTTGGGTGAGTTTTCGTAGCTTATGTCTTTGAAGGAATGGGTCTATTTCATTTAGATTGTTGAATTTGTGAACACGGAGTTGTTTATAGTGTTCTCTCATTATCCTTTTTATGTCTGTAGGGTCAGTAGTGACATCTCATTCTTTATGTTGGTAATTTGTGTTCTCTCTCCTTTTTTGGGTCAATCTGGCTTAAAGTTTAACAATTTTATTGGTTTTTCTTTTCAAAGAAACACCTTTTAGTTTTGTTGGATTTTGTCTATTTTTTCTGTTTTGAATTTCGCTGATTTCTATTCTTTATCATTTTTTCCTTTTGCTTATTTTGAATGTTTGCTCCTTCTTTTCTAACTTTAGAAGTTAAAATTGTTCATTTTATATCTTCATTTCTAATATGAACATTTAATCTACAGATTTCTCTCTAAGCACTGCTTTAGTTTCATCCCACAGATTTTGATATATTTTCATTTTCATTCAGTTCAAAATATTTTCTTTATTTTTGTGACTTTTTTGATTATTTAAGGGTGTGTTAATTTATAATATTTTATAGTTTTTCGTGTATCTTCTTTGTTGACTTCTATTTTAATTCTATTAAGAGAACATTTGTTGTCTTTTATATATATCAGAAAAGCTGCTGGAATTTTTTATTGGAATTGTGTTGTTTTTATAAATTAATTTGATGAATACTGATATCTTAGCAATATTGAGTGTTTTGGTCCATTAACAATATATATCTTTCTATTTATTTAGATCTTCCTTAATTTTTCTCAGCAATATTTTACAGTTCTAAGTGTAGAGATATTTCATCTCTCTTGTCAGATTTATCTATAAATATTTCATATTTTTAATGATATTGTAAAGGTCATTGTTTTAATTTTAATTTCTGATTTTTATTTTATTGCTAATATATGGAAATACAATTGATTTTGTACATTTGATCTTGTATTTTTCAACCTTGTGAAACTTAGTTATTAGTTCTAGAAATGCATATTTAATGTAACTATTGATATGCTTAGATTAAGTGTAACGTTTATTATTAGTTTTCTGTTTTTCTGTTGTTTTTAAAATTTCTCTGTTTTCCTTTTCAAGGAATATAAGTAGTTACTTAAATAATTGTGAAGTTTCATTTTAATTTGCCTATTGACCAAAATCTGTATTAGTATCTTAGGGCTGCTGTCACAAATTACCACAAACTTAGTGATTTTAAACAACAGAAATGTACCGTCTCAGAGTTCTCAAGGCTGGAAGACTGAAGTCAAGTAGGCCCTCACTCCCTCTGGGAGCTCTGAGGGAGAATCCATGCCTTGCCTCTTCCAGCTCTGGTGGCCATCATCAGCCCTGAATATGGGGCCACATCACCCCCATCTCTGCTTCCATGGCCCCATTGTTTCCTGCTCTGTTTTTAGTGGTTACTCTAGAGATTACAATATACTTCCACACTTCACACAATCTGCTTAGAATTAATATTTTATCACTTCAAGTGAAATCAAGAAGTCTTTCAGTTACATAAGTCTCCTTACCCTCTCTCCTTTATGATGTAATTGTCATATACATTGAGTCTACATGCATTGAAAATCCCAACAGTGCTGTTTTTTGATTATAATTTTTGCTTCTTTCTGTGGTCTGCCACCCACTGTTTGATTCCCAGGGGTCGCCTTTCCTGGTGTTCTGGTTGGAAAACAGTTTCAGCTCTTCCCACTGCAACTGGTTCTCATCTTGGGGCAAAGCAGTGAGAGAAAGGAGCCTGCAAGATCACTACCACCATCCCTGCATGACAGTTGCTTCTGCTCAGGGTAGAGTGGGAAGAGTGAAAAGGGGTCCACCCCATAAGGACAGCCTTTTCACTGCTAGTTGGCAGGGTTGGGGGCAAAGGACTGACTGACCTCTGCTGTGCTTGTGAGATGTGTGGGGGGGTGGGGTGGGGAGTAGGGGATGGGGGTGGGTGGCACTGCTGTTACTTCCTAGCGCTTGAAGTCAGAAGTGTTTGGGGCTGCCTCCTGCTCATGACTAGTTGAAGGCAGACAGAGGGCTAGGTCGGTGGGTTGGTGCGGGGGGAGGCGCTACCATTTTGTTGCCGGCAACTAGATCAAAAGGGATCTACCCAGCAGAGGCCCCTGCTCCTGATTTGCTAGGCAGAGTAGGTTTTTTTTGGAGCTCTCCCTGTTTGGGCATGTTCACAGTTCTAATTCCAGGCGGGCCTAGAGCCCAAGGTGGGATATATAGGAAGGAGGAAAAGACAACAACAACGAGAACAAAACACCCACCGTCAAACAAAAAGTCAGAGAGCTTCATTGCTTTTTTGTCCTTTCAATGCCGTACTCCCTACTTCCTTGGCCTTTTGTCATTTAGCTTTCAGCTTATCTGATAGGGATTTTATATATTCAGTTCAGATTTTTAGTTGTAATCAGTAGGAAAGATTGGTTGGAGTGTGCTTAGTCTACCTTAACTGGAACCAGAGACCCTCTATGTAATTTGTAATGCTTTATCCAATATTTTTCACTACACTGAATAGTTTTCAAGGGTAACGTCCTTGAGTGTAATGTAATTTAGTATATGAATCTATCCATATATTTGGGATCCAGCATACAGTATTTGATATGTGGTATAAATTCAGTGATACAACCCTATTCTACTCTGTTTTAATTATTTTTGTTATTTTTTTATTGAAGCAAAGTATCATTTTTGTTTTAATGTTTGTATAGCTTTCCTGCCTCATATTTAGACTATACTTTCAGTTTTTTATGGTTGCCAAATCGACTTTTAGTTTTCATTTGGATTACTGCTTTGCTTTGCAGTGCTGAAACTTCTTTGTTGAAGAAATGTCTTCAGAGTCAGAAAAGGATAAAGAGAGACTGATTCAAGCTGCCAAAATGTTCTTCTTTCATGTACAAGATTTTGCTTCTGTCACAAACACGCTGACTGAGTTGTTTAACCGCAGTATGAATACTCAAATCCTTTTGATGGCTGTGAAAAACAATAGTAACATCAAGGATTTTTTTGAGCAAATGCTCAAAATTTTTAAGGAGATGCAATCTGTAGTGGATGCAAAACATGACAAAATTCAAAAGGAGTCTTTAGGTTCCAAGGTTGCAATGGCCATGTGCTCTGTGGTTCAGAAGGGTACCAATGTAGAGGAGTTGCATCAGTCAGCTAAAGAAGTGTTCAAAAGTGCCCATACACCAGTCATCATCTCTGCGCTAAACAGCAGTAACATCCTTGGGAGTTTGGAATCTTCTCTTTCACACTTGATGAAATTCCCCATCATGAATCTTCAATTAAGTGACTTCTATACAGAAGACACCAAAGAGCAATCAGATGTCACCACATCGGAGAGAACCAGGAGTCCAGATTCTTCCAAAGCCACTATGATAGACATCTTGAAAAAACTGCAGGATGCACTAAAAACTGAGGATTCCAAAAATCCCATAGAGTCAGCAGCAGATTTGTTGGAACAAATTGTCAAGGCTATGGGACCAATCTTAGAGATTCTCCGAAAAGCCATAAAGACTATGGAAATGAATATTTCTGTGTTTAAGAAAGCCAGTGACAAGTAGGGATACAACAGAACTGTTCATTTCTGTCAGAAAACTAATTCAAATCTTATGGTTTTTCATTGCGGTTTCTAAGATCTTTTGGTGCCAAACATGGTATGTTAGAACATAGTACACGAAAGTCATCTGGCAAAACATTTACCTGTAGTTTTGCTTTATTAAAATAAAAATAAATAATGTAGAAAGCCTGTTTGAAATGTCAGTCACTAAGAAGAATATAAACAAAGTGATATTACATTTGAGGATGTTTCTAAATATTATGTTTCATCTTAAAGCATAATTAAAACAACCCTAAGGATCATAATCATGTAAGTCACAGTGTTCTCAAATGTTGGTGTTTAGCAGAATCATCTAGAAGACTTATTAAAACAGACTGTTCAATTTCTGATTCTGTAGTCTGGGATCAGGCTCTAAAATTCACATTTCTAACGACTTCTTAAAGGATGCTGTTGCTGCTTGTGCCTGGAGAGTCAATGCTTTAGGAGAATTGTCTTACTCAGAAAATTATGACTTCTCATGGAAATCAAATGCTTTTGGCTGACTTTTTAGCTTCACTGAGTGGCTTCCAATTGCCTGTCCAGTCCACATTACCCCTCACTCTCTGCCAGACCTGTCTGCTCCCTGACCTTATGCTGTACATACATTGATCATTCTGTATCTGCTTCTATTTTCTACTTTCCTCTAAATAAAACCTCATCTCTGATAGAAAGCTTTATCTAACCATAGGCCAGAGGAATCACATTTCTGTCTCAGCTTCAAGCATTTAATATTTAATATTTAATATTTGGCCTTGTTTTGGGCACTACACACTTGGCACATACTCTTTCTTGTTTTTTTTCTCCTTCCGCTCACCCCTTCTCTCAGGCTAGAGCTCTAAGGGCTGGTTCAAATGCAACCTCTTACTTAAAGCCTTCCAGCTGTCTCTTCTTGCCTAGGTTGGAAGAAATCTTTCTTTTGAATTGTTTTGAACAGAAAACTTGATTTTCACCTTTTTTTTTTTTTTTTTGGCCTTTCACTTGTGGCTTGCTTATGTTCTTAATTTCTCCCAAGAGATTGTAAACTCATGAGAGATCTGGCCTAGTGTTCTCAACTTTTAATCCCCAAAGTGCTTTGTACATAGTATGTCTCAATACATGCATTTCTATGGCACAGGAAAAATGTACTTAAGATGTCGGTTGGCTTTTCCCAACATAGCATGTCATTACTGATTCGTCGATGCTCACTGGAAAAGCTTGCTCCCAAAGCCACGCCCCCAGGACTCTCTACTAGGTAGCCACCAAACTGCCAAATACCCTATCCTATGCAAGTCACATAAATTGTCTGTTTGTAGAAATGCTTTCTTTTTTTCGTTTTTTTGAGATCGAGACTCACTCTGTTGCCCAGGCTGGAGTGCAGTGGTGTGAACTTGGCTCACTGCACTACCTCCACCTATTAGGTTCAAGCAATTTTCCTGCCTCAGCCTCCCAAGTAGCTGGGATTTCAGGCGCACACCACCATGCCTGGCTAATTTTTGTATTTTTAGTAGAGACGGGGTTTCGCCATGCTGGCCAGGCTGGTCTTGAACTCCTGACCTTGTGTCCATCCTCCTTGGCCTCCCAAACTGCTGGGATTACAGGGGTGAGCCACCATGCCTGGCAGAAATTCTTTCCTTTATTGACTGTAGAGGCTACTGCAACTAGGTGACAGAGGTGATTTGGCCCTGTTAGTTTCAAACCCCAGTGTAAAGAAGGATAGTACACAGATGCCTGAACTCCCTGCCAGGTAATTTTATGTAGCTTATTCCCCATTCTGTTTCTTTGATCATGACACAGGCCATTCAGGAAGTCCTATGGAGAGTAAATAGATAGACCGATTTTCAGTTTTGCTGCTTCTTATCCAAATCTCAGAAGGGATAAGGAGCATGGACTTTCAAAATCCAAAATTACAGAGTTAGCCCACATCTTTACTCCATTTAGCCTGATCCCAGAATCTTTAGTGATCGTGATCAGGTTAAATAATCCCTTATGTCCCCACCTAAATTACTACCTGAGGGAAGCGTTAGAGAACATTTCCAGCTATGCAATTCAACAATTTATACTTCTCTGCATCTGCTAGTTTACATGTAATGAGACCTCACTATATCGCTGATATTTGTTTGTAATCAGTGTTTTTTTCCTCTCATAATCTCTGTTAACCTTCACACATACCCTTATGTTTTCCTAATATTTAAATTTGCTATGAAGACTTAAATTTGCCATCAAGTTCTCTATAAATTAACATATGAGTTTAAATTTTAACTTTTGTAATGTCTTAGGAACATGCATGAACACCCATTAGTGCTGGTGAATGAGATTTCACTAACATCTTTCATTAACTTTCCCTTTTATTTCTCAAGTTTCCATGTGTCTTCTCATCTGAGACGATACTAGCTTGATCTTGAATGCTTATAAAAATATCTGAAGAAAATTTACACTTTGGTTAATCTCTGGGGTTCAAAGCTTTTCTGTTTGGTGAAGAATTTGTCCTTTGCTTTCTAACTTGATCTTCTTTGATTTGTTCCTATTTGGAATAACTAAATTAAAAAAAATAGGAAGAGTCCTTGTATTCATTGGAACTCCTTCAACTGCTTGATGCTTGACATAGAAAATCTAATTCAAATTATGCAGGCAAAACCATAAATTATTGATTTATATAATGAAAAATCTTGGAGTATTCAGGTTTAGGCAAAGTTGGATCCAGAAGCTTATACACTCTTATCAGGTCTCAATTTCTTTTCATTTATCAGCTCTTCCTTTGTTGTGTTAGGTCCTTTCTCAAGGAGGTAGGGTCTCCTCTCCTGGTGGCAGGATCTCTACTGGCAGCTGTAAGCTCCTACCCTGCTTTCATTAATATCCATTCAGAAAAGAAGCTCCCATTCTATTTCCAATTGCATTTCCAAAAAAGTACCCTGATTGTATCTCACAGGCTCTGATTGGATCATTTTCTATTCCAGCATGAATCTTTGTGTCCATGAAGAAGAAATACACTGATTGGCTAAGGCCTGAGTTACAGGCCAATCACAGTCAGTGGGCTAAGCCAGCTCTGCATCAGTTGCTAGATGGGCAGAGTGATTTCCCCAAGAGTACTTAGGGTGCTCAGATTGAAATAAGGTAAAGGGGTGCAAGGAAAGGCATAAGAGAATTAACAAAGAGGAGGCCATGTACTGGTTTCAGCAGAAGTATGATGGGATCATCCTTCCTGGAAAACAAATTTCCATTTCTAGCCAAAAGGCCAATAAAAAAGATTTTATTTAAAAATTTTTTTAAATAAAAGGAGTCACAAGATTCCTTTATACTCGGCTTTTGGAAAAGATGATGACACTGGCCAAAAAGGAGAGAGATGCAATAGCTATAGGATCAGGGATGCATTTCTTGCTGGAAGCTGTAAGAAAACAAAACAAAAGTTAGAGATATTTTAGGTGGCAGTTTTTTTTTTTAAAACACCTCATTTCTCCATTGATCCACTTTCTTAACTTAGAAAATTCCTAATAAAAACATTTGAAGTTAGCTACTTAAAACACATTCTTTTAGATTTTTTGAACATAACTTGCTTATTTTGTAGATGATGAAACAGACACCAAGAGGTTAAAAGATGTACTCCCAGGTAACCCAGCCAGCTGGTGGTAGAGATCTGATTTTCCATCTTTATCATCACCAGCAGCATAATCACTGTTATCATTATCTCCATCTTAATTATCATCATCTTCTTCACCATTATGAAAGTTAACACAAACTGAATGCTGATTTTTGTGCTAGTATCTATTTTGAGCCCTTGCTATATATTAACTTACTTAAGCCTCACAACAAACCTATGAGATTTTTATTGTCATTATCCTTGGTTTTTAGTTGACGAGATTGTGACACAGAGATGTGAAAAAACTTGCCGGTGTCACACATCTCGTAAGTAGTGTAGGCACCATTCAAATTTGGCCAGTTTATCTCAATTCTGCATTCTTAACCACTAAACTGTTTGTCTGTGTATTACATGTCCATCCATAGAATTTTTCATTACAAGGTGAGCAAGAAATATTCACACAGTCCTGTTTCGTGTGTGTGTGTGTGTGTGTGTGTATGTGTGTGTGTGTACTAACTACACATATACACCTTTCACAGGAAATGTGGGACAGGTTAGCAGTCAGTTCGGTGTGGAAGCAAAACTGGAAAATAAATAAAAATTGTCAGATATAACTAATAATTGACCATACAATGGGATGGGGACTGAAATGAGATGGGAGATGGAAATCTTGTAAAGAATAGTCTAAATAAAGACTGGAATCTCTTTTCAGTCAGTCTTCACTGATTGTTTCAGGTAGAAAAGATGTTTCTGGGAGGAAGAGATTCAACTCTAATTGCCTCAATATTTGCTCATATTGTTTGATAGGATAACCAGATGAGGGAGAAATGCATTTCAACTATTTTCATACTATATATATATTTTTGAGTTTTTTGGAATTTCTGTATAGGAATGTGTGTGTGTGTGTGTGTGTGTGTATACAAGTAGAAATTCAAGACAGAAAAGACAGAAATTTACTCTGTGTGTGTGTGTGTGTGTATATATATATACACACACACAGTAATTTCTCTTATTTTTTTGAGATAGAGGTCTCACTCTGTCACCCAGGCTGGAGTAGATACAGTAATTTTCAAGACCTCAATTATCACCAATAAGAGTTGGCAAGGAAAATTAAGAGCATACATCTTTCTAAACTTTTGTCAAAGTTTTTGTTAAAATCAAATTATGTGAATCCCTACAGAGACCTAGGAAGCATTAATACTGCTTTAGCAGGTCAGTCATTAGAATGGTTCTCAAACAATTTTTTTTCCTCTTCATTGAGGCTAAAGATCAGAAGGATTTCCAGTCCCACCCTTTCCCAGTATTTAGAGAGCTTAAGGGTCTCTCTTAGGCCACACAGTAAGCGACAGAGCCAGTATTTAACCTAGAGAGTCTGATTCAAGAGATTATATGTTGAGCTTCCTGGAATGTAAATGTCAATTCTCAGTCCTCACTGTATTTGACCTATCAACCATATTTATGATAGTGAATCACTCCATCTTCCTTGATACTTACTCTTCACTTTGTTCTTAGGACACCAACTCTATCGGTTTTCTCCTCCCTCACTGGCCATTCCTTCTCCATCTTTTTTTTTGAGATGGGTCTTGC